AGATAATATATATTTAAAAATGATAGTTTCAGTTGGGTTTCACAACTGATGAAATTTTAGTTTATCTTCAATATGGGAAAATATAGTGATATAAGGGCTTTAAGGTCTTCCTTTCTATCCCCATACTCTCTCTCCAAAATAGAAGTAAAATTATTGGGGAAAAAAGTTGATCATTTTCCTCTGCATTGTTTATAAACTTTATTTTGATTGTGCCTTATGCACATTATTATAACTAAATATTTTCCTACATATTCTGTTTCAAAACATTGTTTATAAGCCTTGATAACAGTTATGAAATCTTTAAATGTACCAAACATTTACAATTATTGTTTTTAACTACTACGTAATACTGCAGCTAATATACTCAAAATCTACTAATAATTTCAGTAAAGTTATTGAATTGTAATAAAATTCTAATAATGTAAAATAATATTCAAAAATGAATATAGTATACTTATGAATGTATTAGTGTTCTAATGCCACTTCAATAGCTAACCCTAAATTTAATAGAATCAAGACAATACAAATTCATTACTTTAGATTCCTGTAGGTCGGCATTCAGACATGGGTCTTACAAGGCTAAAAATAGGTTGCCAGAAAAGCTGCATTCCTTTATGTAGCTTCCTGGGAAAATATGTTTCCTTGCTTTTTCCAGCTTTTAGAGGCCTGAAATGTTGAATCACTGACTCTTTTTCTACCTGTCTTCCACTTCTAAGAACTGTTGGGATAAGATTAGGTTTACCAGTATAATTCAGTAAAATCTCCCTATATCAAGGTTCTCAAACATATCTGCAAAGTCCCTTTGGCCATGTGTAATATAACATATCACTGGTTTAAGCAATTAAGATGTGTGTAGACTGGATATCTTTTGGGAAGGTGACATTCTTCCTGCCGAAATGACAGACATTGCAAAATGTTAACTACCAATAGTGAAATTAACTCTAACATTAATTATTGCATGAAACAAACACAATTTTTCTTTAGGAGATTTATACCTTTTAGTCTTCTCACACAAAACCAATGAAGAAGCACATATTTGATAAACTAATTTATACTGTTATGATTGGAATACTGATGTAATTATAGATAACTAGACAGAATATTTGATTTAAGAAATTTATTATGAATTAATTAAATATTTTAAAGAACAAATATTCTTTGTCCAAGCATGTCTACCACTTACTTATATTTTTTCCACTATGTTCATACACATTGCAATTTTGTTATTTTATTGATAAAATTAACCAAATGATTCAGATTTATTCATCTATATGACATGCATGTAGTGAAAAATTTCAATGTTTTATAACAATTTTCATAAACACAAAAGTCTTGACAGTCATAGCAGATACTATAAAAGTATGCAACAATATTTGATTTTTATTCAAGTTCTTTATCTAAAATTATAAATCTTTAAGCATCACTAAGGAATTGACATTTGTAGAATTAACTGTTAAAAAATTATTATGTCCCTCTGACTATTCAAACATTACATTGACAGAATTCAACATAAGTTTTTAAGGTCTGATTAGAGGTATAGTGGACCTTAAGTTATGACTGGCTTGACAAACAAACAACTTGGGTTATGGCCAGAATTCTAGTTTTAACTTATAAAGGCTTGAGTTATGACCCGAATGCCAGCTGCTTGTGCGTCCAGATGGTCTCAGCTACAGATTTAACCCTTAAAGAGTTCTGGAAGGAACATTACAACATCCTTTCCTGTGTGAGGTTAATTGAGAAATCCTGGGCCAATATCTCTCTAGGGACACTGAGATCTGCCTGTATACAGGAGAGAGATTTTGATGGCTGTGTATAGGACTCTGCTCCTTCAATTGACCAACTTGAATTACAAGCAGCCTTTGCGAATGAACTGAATTTGTAAGTCAAGGATCCACTGTATATCATTTCTCTAATTTTTGTCTGTTCAGAGAAACTAAACATATACTAGATGCCACAATTTGGTTTTTTTCCCTTATGATTCTTAAAATTTTACATTTGGAAAATGTGATATCCGATTCAGATACTAGTATCACTCTTCATGAAATTAGTATGAGCTTTATATCAATCTAGAAGCTTATAATAACTATAACTTTCACTAAACATCTACATTTGTAATCATTTATACGTTTGCTCTGAGAGGAAGTGGAAACTAACTTTTCTTGAACTTTCTTCATGTACTCAGCTTGCCTTTTGGCCCTTTGCTTTCTTTTCTTATTTAACTCTTACAATATCTTATTAGTTTGACAAGAACCAAAAATGAGGTTTTGTCTAAAGATATGTAAGGCCCAGGTACTGTGGCTGAGCACACTTTCAGGAGAAGTGAGACATCAACATTTCAAATGTTAGGGAAAACTGGCAAACAGATGGCATTAACTTTTGTGTTTCTTTCTGTGTTAGGAGCGGATCTTAGAAAGTCCTTCTCCTGCTCCCTCTCTGGAAGAGAGCCATCACCTTGGGAGCCAAACTTCCTCCCACCCCAGCAGCAGTGTGTCCAGCCCTCCCTCTCAGAGGGATCATCATTCAGAGAAAATGGGTGAGTGTCTTACCTGAAACAAATAATTTGAAGATACTTTTTCAAGAAATTCCTCATTAGACACAAAAGGGGGGCAGAGAAAGGAGAAGGAGGAGCTGACAATTGTTTAACATACTGTATACAGCTTTTTGAAGTTGTCATTTTTTTAATTGCTGAAACAATAAGACCAACAAAATAAAACCTAAGTTTGTCACGTTTATTGTATGCAAAAGCTTCTCTTTATCACTCATTCTCATGGAATTTTTGATTATGTTAGTTCAATATGTTGTATTGTAACAGATATTGCCATATAATACACTTGTAGCATTCCCAGCACCCTTTGGAATAATGGAAGATGAAATATTCTTTAAGCAATTAGTTATATAAGAGTAATTAAAAAGTGAGTCAATATACTATATGCCACAGTCTCAACAGTATGGATCACAAATACTGAACATGCTTTTCCTTACATTTTTTTAGTCTCAGGTGAGTTACATCATAAACAACATTCTAGAAATTGGTTGTATATGATAGGCCACATTGGACACTGGAATCTAGCTATAGGTCCAGCACTAGCTAGCTATAACATCTCGAATATATCATTTAACGTATTATATTGAAATAGTTACCTCACTGCCTAATGAACTGCATTATTTTGAGATCAAATGAAATAGTACGTAGAAAAACACTTCACAAATTTGAAGTCATAAAGAGATATGATGTGATAAACCTTTATTTTATTTTTTTTAATTCTTTTATTGGTACATTTTAGGTATACAACACAATCACATTTCTCCTTGGGAACTTGTACCTTTATAAGATGCATCTTGGTTCTTATTTTTTCCCCATTCCTAGCCCTCCCTTCACTCCCTCCACCTTTCCCTATTTACAAAGACTTTATTTCCATTTTTTCTATTTCTCATCATTTTTCCTTTTCCTTCTTTCCTTTCCCCTGCCCCTTCCACTACCCCTACCCCTTTGGACCTTTTCTTCCTATTT